TATATACATATATACTTTTTTCATTTATGTAGGTCACAAATTGTAACTTTAAAAATTTTGAATAATTATATTTAGATATCTGTATATTATATTTAGATATTTATATATTATATTATATAAAGTATGATAATGTTCCATTATTTGCAATAAAAATTTTTCAATACGTTATATGTATCATGCTTTAATCCCGAAACGCAATATAGTAGACTGTAGCACAGATTTTTTGCATAACACATAATTAATAAAAAAATTCAAATAAAAAAATCAACCAATCAGAATTCTTCATTTCTTTTCTTTCCAAATATGAAATAGAAAACTTAGATTAAAATTGATTTTCTTATGCGTTATGTAAAGATACTTCGACCTTAGTCCGATCGGCTTGTAATCAGCAAGGTTGAACATGTATTAAACATAATATATCATACATGGTTTTTTTATTTATAATACCATGTATTATACGTATTTTTTTATAGGTTTTATACGTATTATACATAATACACAAATGTATTATACACATGTAAGAAATGTAAGAAATTATTCGCAGTTCTAAATTACCCGACTCTGATCAGACGGTTAGTATGATATATTATAGGCTTTAGGGAGACTCAGAAAATCAGAAAGCAGAAAAGCAGAAGCTAATCAGAACTCACGCTGCTAATAGGCACTCTTCTATTTTCTTTTCAATGCGAGTTTTGATTGGTTTCTTTTCTGCTTTCTGCTTTCCTGTCAAGGTGTGAACTGTCCTTTAAGCTTTATTGTGGCTGTGTTCTAAAATTTACTGTCAGCACTGAAAATCTATAGTTTACGTTACGTGCATTATACATTGTCAGCACTGACAGTGAATTTTGGAACATAGCCTATATCTATGTTTCGGGAACGCAGTCTATATTATTCTAAATCTAATATAATAGAAGACGATCCTTTACAGTTTACAAGTTTACACTTTATTACTTCCATTGTAAACGGCTCTTTAAATACTGACGATAGTACTTTTGCATGATTATAGACATTGCAAAATTTGCATATTTGTAGTGCATTACCAGTGATTGCCAGTACTGGATGTATTTTCTGTCGGAGTTTCTGGTATTGGATTAGTACTGAGCAGTGTTAGTTTATTCCAGTTTATCCGCGAATGCGAAAATATGGCAAGTTCGTCACGGTAAGCTTCACGAAAAATGAATATTACTTTCGAATGTTGATCGTCGAAAACAATCGTCACGAGTCACGTTTAATATTTATCTTATTATCGCAACTGAAGTAAGGTTAAGATTACATATAATTATACAGTTTTATTTACTATTTAGGGAACACTTTATTAACATAGGAATAAATTAATCGTCATAAGGTTAATCTGTGATAAAAATAAATATAATCTTAATAGTTAACTCAAAATTAACGATTGTAAAATTATGTTAAGCTTCGATATAATGTTAATAATTAGAAATAAAAGAATGAACAATTTATTTGTCTGTTGACATTGGCAGAAACATGTTATAGATTTGTTTGAACTTAAGATTTATCTAAATACGAATTATTCGTACGAATTATTCGTAAAAATGAAATATTTATTCTTACAGAAATGCTACAAATAAGGTTTGTTGTTATGCACATCCAGATGCCCCACTTATAGAAGATTATAGGGCAGGAGATCAGATTTGTTCAGAATGTGGATTAGTTGTGGGAGACAGGTAAAGCAGTCACAGATACAAGTATAGATCTCCAATAAATTTGACACATTCATACATTTTTTATGTCTTAACAGAGTGATAGATGTAGGTTCAGAATGGAGGACGTTCAGCAATGAAAAATCAGGAGTGGATCCATCACGTGTTGGTGGTCCAGAGAATCCACTCCTCAACAGTGCAGATTTGTCTACAATGATAGGACCAGGAACAGGAGCCGCATCTTTTGATGGCTTTGGTACTGCCAAGTATCAAAATCGACGTACAGTTAGTATTCAATTTCTTATTACTTTATATGATAAAGTCATTGCTAAAAAAAATTTTTTTTTCAGATGAGTAGTTCTGACAGAACTTTACTTAATGCGTTTCGCGAGATTAATGGTATGGCAGATCGTATCAATTTACCGAAAACTATTGTGGACAGAGCTAATACGTTGTTCAAGCAAGTGCACGATGGCAAAAATCTGAAAGGTCGTGCAAACGATGCAATTGCTTCTGCATGTTTGTACATCGCTTGTCGACAGGAAGGAGTGCCACGTACATTTAAAGAGATTTGTGCAGTCAGCAAGATAAGCAAGAAAGAAATTGGTCGATGCTTTAAGTTGATTCTCAAGGCTCTTGAAACCAGTGTAGATCTTATTACAACTGGTGATTTCATGTCCCGATTCTGTTCCAATCTTGGCCTTCCTAATATGGTACAGAGAGCCGCCACACATATTGCTAGGAAAGCCGTGGAAATTGACATTGTACCTGGAAGATCGCCCATCTCTGTTGCCGCTGCAGCAATTTATATGGCATCACAGGTATGTGAAATCATGGTACATTCTATAATTAAATAGGCACTATTTTATTTTCATGCATTCTTATCTTACACAGGCATCGGAAGACAAGAGATCACAAAAGGAGATTGGAGATACTGCTGGTGTTGCAGATGTCACAATCCGACAATCGTATAAATTGATGTATCCGCATGCAAGCCAGCTCTTCCCGGAAGATTTCCGATTTGCCACTCCAATCGATCAGTTACCACAAATGTAAAGCCAAAAAGGCTTTACTTTCTTCTTCCGAAATATATTTGACCGTTTTAAAAAAATATTTTTTTCATCACAAGCATAATCGAACACGTATAATTCAATATTTTATTTTTATCAACAGGGTACATTCCTGAATAATTTATACGATTCAATATTCTTTGCTTTACTGCAAGTATAATATATAGTGATATGTTGACATTTTTCTTTTTCTCTTTTTATTTTATTTTATTCAGATTATACTTTTCGAAAACATAATGGTGCTTAGGTGAAATATATTTAATGTTCATATTCTATTATATTTTATATTTTATAAAAAATGCATCATGTGATTTATACTTCTTCTACATAGCGTGCAAACTCAACTTTCTGTTATTTCCTTCTATTTATAAGTTTATAATTTGTAACACGAGAAGAAGCCCATTCAGTTCTGCACAGTTGTAAACTGATAAAACAATTTTTTTTCAATTGTGCACTATTAGAAAACAACAATTCTTCTAAGAGAACTTTACGTTATTTGAAATACATGCATATACAATAATTATATAATTATACATAGTTATATATTAATTATATAAATATACAATTTTCTATAAATTGTACAATTTTTTATGTATATATAATTGATATATAAACTTAATTAATATTTATAACACCTATATTAACATAAAGGTTTAGAAAAGATATTAAGGGAATCTATACAAAAGAAGGGAACATGAACCTATGTATACGTGATGATGTGCTAAATTCTACATTTTCTACAAAATTCTTATATCTCTTTGATAAACTTGATAATGTTATTGATAATCCGAAATTATTTTTCGCAGAAACACAATTGTAAGTTCCAACACAATTAAGAAATATTGTACAATAAAAATAAGGTTGTATAAAATTTGTTCTGTGATATTTGAAAAATGAAAGGAGGAGTAACATTACTGCAATTGTCTATAATTCCCCAATTTATATCCAATGCGCGATATTTTTTAATATAAACTTTTAACATAGTAAAGTATATCAGCTGATTACTTGTTGCATTATGTATTAATCCCTTTGTTTTTAAGACAATAAGTTTAAATTTGACTTCCAAGATACGATATAAGACTTCCAAGATTTTTTATTGATAAGCAATTTTTTAATAAAATAATTCTAGGAATAATTCTAGATTCGATTTTCATTACTCCTCCAACAGGCATTTCCTTCCGATAATTAAATAATAAATAGAAATTCTTTACGAAAATATTTTGCGATTTTGCAAAGTTATTTTAACTGTCGATAGATAGAACGCAAATATACATAACACATTTCCTTGACCCATGAACTGTATTTTTTTGCTGTGGGAAATTATAAATGCATAGTATAAAAAATGTAACTAAAGACGGATTTTCATTTTCCATATACCTTTTTTTTTATTCCTCTTTTCTTTCCTCTTAAAATCTATTTCAAAGCATAACTGAAATAATAGTTTTACATGTGATTTTCTCTGCACCAAAATTTTGCTCGGGCAATACATTGCATGCTTATTTTAATATAAGAATTGGTTTACGCGCTTTTTGTTCTCCACGTGACACTTGATTAATGATTTTCATGTAGTCATGTGATGTGCCAAGTATGAGCTAGAGGGACAGAGAAGCGCGAGAGGAGACTTGTTTACGTTTTAAAGGGAGGGAGGTGACTGGAGTAAAGAAATTGGAGTAAAGAAAAATTTAGAATAGAGAAGTCTTGTGTACAAAATAATTTAATCTGACATGATTAAATTATAATAATAGGAGGGAACCTATAAAGGAAAATTTGTAATAAAAAATTCATGTTTCAATTTTATATTCAAAACAAATAAAAAATCTTTTAATTTAAGTGGACTGGTAGGTTTTTCGGCTATACTTTTTTCATTTATATCAATACATATATATTATACATCTTCAAGAGAGAAGAGAGTTACTTGAGAAGAGTTAACCTTAATCTCAGAATAAAAGTCTGATAAATAAGAACAAAAAATACAAAAAATTGAATTCATAAATCTAAATTAATTTAATTTATACAAATATCTAATGCTGCTCTAGTAAAGTATAGAGTTTTATATTGTCAAATAACAATTTTTCATTTTGTAAGCGCTCACAATTATAAAATGAATATAACGCCTCCCATCAAACCACCGCGAGGGATCAAACCAACAAAAGAAACGGCAAGTAAATCTTATAATTATAGAAAACTTCTCTTATTTAAGTTATATCAGAATAAGGTGTCATGTGTCTTGTATAACTTACAGAGTGGTTTACTGATCTCAGTCATCCGTGCTTTATCAGCGAGTGAAACAAACGAACAACGTGAGATTGAGAAAGCCAAGTTGGAAAAGGAATACAAACGAAGTGATCAACGACTGGAAGAATTGGTTTCATCACATGATCAGGATCTCATGGAAGTTATGCAGGTATATATGAATATGTATATTTGAATTTAACAAGAAACTTGGAACTTATTGTAAGTATATATTGTGTTATATATTTTTTTAGATATTCAGTGAACTATCTGAAAAAGTTACATCAGCGCGAGAAAAAATTCATGCAGTAAAGGAGAATCTGAATGCCTGCAAACAATTATTGAGATGTAAACGAGAAGAGTTATTGAATTTATGGCTGGAAGGAATAGAACATAAACAAGTCTTACATCTTCTGAAAGATGTGTAAGTTATACATACATACAAGTTATACACTTTTCTATCACTGCGTTGATAGAAAAGTGATACATCAAAATTAGCAACTTTTCAGTAGATCATTTAAGAAATTCTGAATATACATATATTTGAGATATATGTATATCGATACATATTTGAGATTTTAAAAATGTGTTTTCAATTGTTAATTGAATATAAATTAATTTTTTTAGGACTTCAGATTCATATGGACGTATGATAACAGGTTTAACTGAGCCTGAGCTATTACCATCCAATATATCACATGATACTTTAACAGATCAACAATCATAAATCTCATTATTTTGTATATATATATATATAAAATATATACACACGTACAATATATAATTTAACAAATTATAAATTTACAGTTTCTCACATAACATAAATGTAGAACCAAAATAATTTTTTAGAATAAGTTTTTATGTTACGTAAATTAAAATAAAAGAAATTTTATGTACATTATATTATAGTTAATAAAGTTATAATTCATATTTGCTTCCACATTATTCAATAGCAAAATATATATAAGAATTAAAATTTTCGCTTGAAGTTTGACGTAAAACTAAAATTTTAAATTTTTAAATTAAAAATTTTTGAAATTTTAAACATTATTTCTTATTTTATAATTCTCTTAATTTTTAATATTCTTAATTTTTTAAATATTTTCCCCTAATATTATAAGAATTTAAATATTTATGTTTCATAGAAATATTTGCCTTATTTCAATTTCTTACACTTCTTGGAATTTCAGTTAATGTTTATTTTATTTTTCTGATGTGCATGTTTTAAGAATTTAAATTTTCGCGGTTTACAAAATCGATTAAAGCGTAACTTGATGAATAATTAATTAACTATTGTCAATAAGGTCATTAGCTTCTTTATCAATCAATCAGAAAAATATTAAAACAATTAAAAATTTTAGAATCGCTAAAAATTTAAATAAATAATCTCAAAAATTTAATAAATATTAGGAAAACATAAATCTGTTATAAAATATTTAATAATTACTGAATATCGTAAACGTACAATTTACAATAATTTTAAAATTACAAAAATTATTATATTATTTATAAATAATAATACATGTATGTGGTCCAAACAGTCATAATGTATGAATATTTAGATATGACGCTGTACGCATATCTAATTATAGTGTAATTTCACATATGAAATGAAGCATCCAATATTCAAGTTCAACACACGAAGTATCAATGCCATAGGAAGGTGGCGTTTCTGCTATTTTCGTAAATTGCGAATCAGCTGATAACGTATGACACGAATGTCCAAAGGACGATCACGAAAATACATATGACTCTTAAGTGATTCTGACTTCTGATCATTCCAACTTCTTCTGTGTCATGAGCAGTACATCTGGCAGGACGCGTGTCCTTCAATAAACAGTTTTTTAATTATTTCGTTTTCTTTATATGTCGGGTGATTAATTATTTTGTACAAAAATATACGTGTAATCGATATAGCACAATTAATACAGACGTGATATTCAACAAGTTTAATCAATTTAATAAAAATGACCAGCCAAAAAACAGTACCGAACGGTGTAAAATTCCTTATTGGTGGGACATCTGGGTTTGTGTGCTTTTTTTATGTTTATTTTGGACATGTGACATCTAGGAATAAATGCGAATCTTAAAAAATATGTTTATGTTGTTTGATAATAAGAGAATTTCGTAATCATTGAGCTAGAGTTCAAAGATCAAGATTACATTTTATCAAAATTACTTCTTGCGAATTACATAACTAACATTGTTAGTAATTTAAAATAGAAGAAAAAAGTTGAATTTGAATTTTTCATGATGATGCAATCTGTTTGTATATATTAATGTATATATATCTTATTTGCATACTATAAATAGAGGTGTAACCCTGGATAAATTAATATAGCTTCTCTTATAATATAGCGCCATTAAAATCTTAATTTTTAATAATTTATAGAAAATTTTTTGTATAAAAAGTAATATAATCTATGTTGTATTAATCTTTACATATTATTTCAATTAATTTATGAAGTAACTGATTTTATTTAATTTTTAGAAAATAAAAATTAATTAATTGTGGTTTAATCCTCTTTAAATCTATACAATAATAAAATTTTATCAAAATATATCCTGATTATTAACTTTTATTAAATATTAACTTTTATATGTATTATAAAATTTAATTGCTTAGACCAAAATTGTAATTTCATCACAATTGCGTGTAATGCACTCAAACAGTCTGTGATAATTACACGAAAAATTCATTAATTAACTCGTTTGAGTACCAAAACAGGTTTATTGTACTAATTGAATGAGAAAAATTTATTATATTCGGATTGTTGGAAAAGCAGAATAAAGAAAAAGAAAAGAAAGAGCTAGAATTATCTGATAAATTATCTGTTAAAAATTACCCAATAAATTTGGAATTTATATTTTTATTTAGATAATCGATGAAGGACATATATATATATTTAATTACAGCATGGCAGCAACATGTTTTGTACAACCATTGGACTTAATAAAAAATCGCATGCAATTAAGTGGCACAAAAACATCGACATTAAGTGTTACATCATCAATTCTGAAAAATGAAGGCGTTTTAGCATTATATTCAGGCTTATCTGCCGGTTTAATGCGACAGGCTACATATACCACTACTAGACTTGGTATATATACTTGGCTTATGGAAGTTTCTTCGTAAGTTAACTTTGCATATAAGATTTTATAATTATATAAGAATTGAAGTAAATTTATATCAAGTATGTTTGTCTTATTTAGAAAAGAAACGCAACCAAATTTCATTGTAAAAGCAGTACTTGGTATGGCAGCTGGTTGTGTCGGAGCATTTGTAGGTACACCCGCTGAAGTAGCTTTAATTAGGATGACAGCAGATGGAAGATTACCTATTGGTAAATTTTTAATTTTTTTCATACAATAAGATTATTACTAACTTTGTATATGTTACTAGTTTAGTATACATATCCACGTACATATTATAGAATTTAAACATTTAAAATATTTTAAATGCAGCTGATAGACGCAATTACAAAAATGTGTTCGATGCATTATTCCGTATAATTAGAGAGGAAGGTCTTTTTACGTTATGGCGTGGCGCCATTCCTACTATGGGAAGAGCTATGGTTGTAAACGCAGCACAGTTGGCATCATACTCTCAGGCAAAACAAGCATTGCTAGATACAGGTATTGTAGACACATTGCATTGTTATTTGATCTTTTAAAGTTATATAAATGATACTACAATGATTACATTTGTTTTATATTGTGTTTTTTTTTAAATAGGGTATTTTGAGGAAAATATAGTATTACATTTTGCAAGCTCCATGATTTCTGGTTTAGTCACCACTGCCGCTTCTATGCCTGTAGATATAGCTAAAACAAGGTATTACACGATAAGTTCATGATCGTTTAAAATTCAATTAATTCATATGATTCTTAATATGTGATTAACATATTTAATGATCTTTTTTCAGAATTCAAAACATGAAAACAATAAATGGCAAACCAGAATTTACAGGCGCAATTGATGTCCTGACTAAAGTTATAAGGAACGAAGGATTGTTTGCATTGTGGAAAGGATTCTTTCCATATTATGCACGTTTAGGGCCTCATACAGTCTTAACATTCATTTTCCTTGAACAAATGACTGCTGCTTATAAAACATACTTGGTATAATAATTGCAATTGTATGCAATTGCAAAAAGTTATCAATGATTTAAAGTTTCAAAATCTTGTTTCCTTTTTGCTTTATCAATGCTTTCGTATATTTTCAAAAGCATTATTTTAATAGTAAATCCATTTTTTAACATATATACTGTAGAATATTACGCACACAATTGCAATATCATTTTGTATAAATATATATAGAATTTATCATGTAATAAAGATTTTTATAGTGGCTTTTATGAAATTTATCGGTTCTAAAATTATTACTTTCTGAAAAGTATATCCTCGTATTTTAATTGAAGAATGAAATATAAATTTTCGACTCAGTGTAAGTTTAATTTATGCATTTTTATTTTCTGCCATATGAAATCATACGCGATATATTAAGATATTTTGCTATTATTTTGTAGAGAGAGGAAGATATATATTATATTCTGTGAATATGTATGAATACAGAGTTTGTCTGGTACGAACTTAGTTTTGTATAGCCATACCATTTGATTCAGCCATTTAGTTATTATTTTCAATGTTATTTTATATAAAACTTGTTTTAATAGATGTATATTTTGAATATTCAAATTATAATGAGCCGATATTGTTATTAGATATAAAAGTTCAACAAATGTAAACTAAAATAGTGTGCATTAAAATGTATTCAAAGTAATGTGTTTAAATGTATTAAATATATATTAATGCAAAAAAAATGGTACAATAACATTGTATCAATAATATTGTACTAAAATAACAAAGATTTAGCAATAAAAATTATATTTTGATTGTAAGTTTACTACATTTTATTTCTAACAAGAAAAGTTCGGCAAGTGTAAAATAAAATTTGAAATTTTGCATGAATTTGAAATAGATGACCTAATCATGAAAAAAATTATTTTAGTTGCTGAAATTTAGAAGTGCAACGCCCCTTTTGAATAAAATCAATATTTACATTTATAAACGAATCTCGGAAACAATTAGAAATGCGAAACAATGTTTCCAACAAAAGTTTCATAGTTTTGAAAGTACTTTTGTAACGACGTGATTAGATTTTTGAAAAATGTTAAATTTTGCAAAATATCCCTACTAACTAATCCCTTTTTCTTAAATTAAAAATTTTATTTTATGTAAGTGTGTTTTCAGTTTATTTCTCAAAAACATATTTACGGAAAACACAACTATTTTGTACACAACTTTATCATATGATTAAATTTAATGTAAAATAAACTATTTAATTGCAAAAAATTTGAAAATTAGATCTATCTAGGTATTCTAAATTCATGCAAAAACTTTCTCATTTCACATTTTTTTTATTTTACACTTGCTGAACTTCCTTTGTAAGATAAAACAAAGTATTTTATCAACAAACTTTGAAGATTAAAAATTAGACATAAATAATATAAAAAATAATTTTAAAAAATTACATTTCTACATAATTATGTTTATTTGACGCGAGAATGATTAGTTTCCGATAATTATCGCGTGATCAAAATTTATACAAACTTAAAATTGCAAAATTTACGGTTTTGCCTTATTGTATCTTGAAATTAATTTCTTTATTACATTATAAATTTTTGCGACGAAAATTATTGACAAAACGACAATACGATAGTGTAACAAGTGTGTCATGAAATCGATGCTGA